TCTCGCTTGTAGACTCGCTCTGCGCGACAAAGAGAGAGACTACCTACTACTACTACTACTACTACTACTACTATTGCTACTACTACTACTACTACTACTACTACTACTACTACTATTACTACTACTCCTCCTACTACTACTACTACTACGACGACGACTACTACTACTACTACTCCTGCTGCTGCTGCTACTACTCCTACTACTACAACTATTGCTGCTACTACTACTACTACTACTACTACTACTTCTACAACTGCTACTGCAACTGCCACCGCCTATGCTACTGCCACTGCGACTGCCGCCGCTACCGCTACGGCGACCGCTGCTGCCACTGCTACTCGCACTGCTGCTGCTACTACTACTGCTGCTGCTACTACTACTACTACTACGACTATTACTGCTACTACTAGTTGTGGTACTAGTACTAGTACCACTACTATTATTATTACTACTACTACTACTACTACTACTACTTCTACTGCTACTACTACTACTACTACTACTACTACTGCTACTCAGGGCGACGACGACGACGACGACGACGACGACTACTACTACTACTACTACTACCATGTACTATTCCTCCTCCTTTACCTACTGCTGCTGCTGCTTCTGCTTCTGCTGCTGCTGCTGCTGCTGCTGCTGCTGCGGCTATACTTTTTCCTGCTCCTATTAACAGGTTCGTTTGACATATTCCGCCTCATTCTTTTCCTTCCTGATTGTATGCTGGCATCTGGGACCAGAGGTTCTGGGTCGCCGGAACGGTCACGGTCGTTATGATCTTGGTTGGTGGCATCACGGCGAATACAGTGGCGTCCGCGTTAGGGATTATGCTTCTGGTTTCATGTTTTCGTGCAGAACGCGATGTTTCCTATGGAGCAGACATGCGAGGGGTTGAACTTCACAATGCAGGCTTTGAGGCGCAGGTGTTGACGCCAGCACCTCAAAGTTGCTCTTCAGAAGAGCCATAGCATCCTCTTCCAAGACCGAGTGGACCGATTCGGAACCGACTGTTCATCTCCAAATCCCGAGAGCGTCCCTGGATGATTAGAGGGCATTTGATGTGCTTGTTCCGGTAGAAGTCATGCTGGGAGAGCCAGCAAAGTCGCGCTGTGTAGTTGTAGAGTTCGCGGATGACGGCGTGGGTCGGTTCTTGTCCTCTTATAGGTGATGAATAATTACCAGAATGAGCTAAATATTAATAAACGAATTCCTTGAGAGATTTCATAAGATAGAAAAATGTAATGGAATGAACGAAATGTGTCTTTAATTGAAATAAATGCATGAAACAAAAGAAATGTGTAATGAATTGACATAAAGTAAAAAGATAAGAGGTTTCTATAATTAAAATCCAGGTGTAAAGATACCATTGAAGCATGGTTAAACTGAGCCGACAAAGCCCGGATACCTAGCTATCCTGCTTGGAAGGTGGTTTTGCAGAGCAGGAATTGGGATGCTTCCCCTGGTTGAAGCCAGCCTTCTGCTGCCCGTGGGTAACCCTAAACCCTAAACTCTAAACCCTAAACGTTCCCTCCCAGGCATCATGTACTCTGGCCATTCAAGCATCGCCTTCCTCCAGCGGATGCTGAGTTGCACGTTTATGCGAAAAGCCTGTCTTGCCGGCAGGAGACTGGGACTTGGGGTTTGAGAGTTCCACAGAGAGCCCAGAGCCTGTCCGATGACCCTGAGCCTCAAGCTCCGCACACTTGCCCAAAAGCTTCCGCAAGTTCAGGAAGCTCGCTCTCGTGTTGTCCATTGTCTCGATGTCGGAGAAGGTGGGTCAGGGGCGGAGGGAACAGGTTGTTTCGGATCATTTGCTGCGAGCTGTATTCAGCGACTGTGTAAGGTCGTGAAGCGTAGTCGGAGCCTCTCTGACGACGCAAGCCGTCATCTTGCACCTCTCTTGTTTCCCTGGTGTCTTGGTACATCCAAATTATGCTTGTGCGGCTTGGTGTGTCTCCTGCCAATGATTGTGGAGCAGAACGCTTGTCGTGTTTGCCATTGCCCTCGTTAGTGTTGTTGATGATCTCCGCAATGCTTGTGACAGTGTGGTGGTGGAGGTGGTGGTGGTGGTGGTGGTGGTGGTGGTGGTGCTGCTGCTGCTGCTGGTGGCAACCACCCTGCCCTGGCTGCGTGTCTCTCTCTCCCCCCAAGCCCCTCCAACGCGGAAACAACATGCCCGAAATGTCAACGCCCCACTCCAAGACTGGCGGTGGTACTCGAATGCCGGTGATCACGATTGGCCAAACTGAACCCCCGGGCAGCTTCCGTTAAAGAGCGGTTTAGGGGCTCTGGGCATCTCTGGGCAGCTCCCGGTGAAGAAGATGTCTTGGACGCTTCGGCGTTTTTTTGAGCTCCTGCGATGCAGGAGCTGTTGAGCGGGGACAGCACCCTCCTGACGACTCCGCCGAATCTACCGATCCCCGGCTGCATCTAGTCAGGGTTCCGGGTTTAGGGTTCGGGGGGGCACAGATCCCCAGCTGCATCTAGGTTCTAGGAGCCTAGGAGCACCGGAACCAGAGTTTGGATATCAGGTGTGCCTTGCGCCCGAGACCCCAAACTTCCGTGAAGGAATTTGAGCCGGTCGAGCACAGGTACCCCGACAAGTGGCTTGCTTCGATCTAGTCCGGAGCTTTCGGGTTGGGGGTTTAGGGTTTAGGGTTTAGGGTTTAGGGTGTTTGGTCGTGACACTCAGAAGTTCAATGCCTTCAGGGCCTGTCGAGTTTGGGATCATTTTTTTGGCTTTTGTTTGCACTGAGTGGGGCCGGTAATGTGACCATTGAAATCAAGCTTCTAAGCCCTAGAACCCCAAAGCAAGAACTCTATAGCCAAAGATCCCCAAAGTGTTCCAGGCTCGTAGCTCCCGACGTTCTCCCGTCAGGTTGTTCCGGTGTTGACGGCTTGGAGCTCGAGGAGTGCATAGGTGCCGGCTCCTTTGGCAAGGTGGCGGCGCAAGCACCTTCCATGATCCAGAGACTTTCTTCTGGGGGTCCAGCTTTTGCTCTTCAGATTGGTGGCTCCTTCTTTATGTGCGTTTGGGCCATTGGAGGTTCTGTGCTACTGAGACGATGGGGTGGGGAGATCCTGTAATCATTTCCCCCATCTGTCGTATATGTTAAGGCGGCCTGCACCATTACTCATGAGCCCCAGCTCATGGAATAGACCTCGGTTAAGGCGAAGGACGACCTCCCACACGGTGCGTAGGGGTTTGTGGGTCTGCGTCGGCTGTGCAGGTCTATTCTGCGACGTATCTGGGGAAGAGAGCTGCAGTGAAGATCATGAGCTGGGAGGGAGAGCTGCTTGGCTGAAGCCTAGCCCAAGCTTGAAAGGACAGCTAGCAGGAAGATGATGTCATGTCCAGAGCCTCGGTGTTCGCGGTGGAAATTCCTCCTCTCTTTGGAGATCCTTACAGTAAGTCCGTGGAGTTGCGACGTAACTCCAATGGCCCTTGTAGTCTCAGGCAGCTCAAGCGCATTGATCCTGTGAGAGAGGTGGGGACCACTGGGGACCACTGCCTCTCCGGGATTTGCGAGGGTCTGATTGCTGGGATGGGAGATCTGATCTCAGGAGTATCTTCCTGACCTGTCGTGACACGGACGACTAAGATGTTGTCTGCAGCCCCGAAGCCCCATACGGCGGAGATGCTGCTTTCGACGAAGCGGGGTTCAGGGTTTGGGTGCTTTGGGTGCTTGGCTGGGAGCTTGCGAAGTGTTAAGAGGCGAAGCTGTGTCTGCGAATGGTCCACCCGAACCTGGTTCAGGCTCCTTGCCTGCAGAAGGTTTTGCCACTTTTTCCTCATGGGTCATGGGCTTCAGGAGCAGGGAGGGGGCGGCCCCAGGCCCAGTCACATGCAACATGCACGCCCGCGCAACCAACGAAGCTGATAATCAAGGCAACAATATCACGAATATCAGCCGTACAAGTGGTACTGCACCCAAAGCTTCGAACCCCATATCCATGGAACGGCCTAGGCTTTCAACTTCGTTCAGCGCGATTCCTCATCCGAGGCCTCTGCTTCTAAGTTCAGGTCGGTGGAATGTTACCAGGAGCTGGAATTTCAGAACGATTCTAAGGTCTGTGTCGACGACTTCCTAGCAGTAACTACGCGTAGTCTTTTGCTCGACCTTCTGAGCATCCTGGTGTTTACGAGTTAGGGATTTCCACAACGACTGCAAGCACACCTGATGCCCGCGCATGCATCTTCTTCATGCAGTTTTCTTGGCGTGCTATGTGCGAACATCTAGCGCAGTAACACAGACAGTGTGCGAGGTTTTCGTGAGGGACAAGTGCAGACGTGAAAGCTCATGACCATGTCATAACATGCATGAATGTGAGACAAGCTTTTGACCCGACTCGGACAAGCTCTCTTGCAACCCAAGCCGAAGCCGGAAGTGACACAAACCATCAAATCCTGGGTCCAAAGACAGCTGTCGCGTGCCGGAGGTCTTTGCGAAGAAGTCTTGGAAAGAGATTTGGATCATCCAGGAGACTTAACTAGGCTTCCTGCAGTGGCATAGGCATCGTTGTGCAGTGTAGCAGCGCAGCTTCGTGATGACGAAGATGATGATGAAGATGCTGGAATATTGAGAGGAGTGGTGCGACCGTGGGACCCTCTGCAAGTACTGCGATACTCCGCGATTCGATGAGACGGGCTTGAGGCCCCGGAGATTCGGGTCAGACCTGAAGCTGCACGGTTTCTACTAGCCAATGCTATGTATCTGTTTTCCTGGTGAAGCTTTGTAGACTTTTTCTCAAGCCTTAGACAATAAGCTGAAGGACTCCATATGCTTCGATGAGCTCAAGCATAGGAACGCTTCAGTCGGAAGTGCCAGCTGGTAGGGCTACCACCAAGCTTCCTAGGCGCAACTTGGTTGTGGCCAATGTTTTCGTATCGTCAATTCAGGACTCAGTACGAGCAAGAATTCGCCATCACTGCACAACATACGACTCCTGCTGTTGCTGCTGCTCATAGAGTAACAACAACTGTTACTACTACTACTACTACTACTACTACTACTACTACTACTACTGAGAACATTGGGTTACTAATGCTTCTCGGCTACGCAACAACAGAAATAACAGAAGCATCAGCAGCAACTACAACAACAACCAACAACAAGTACTGCTACTGCTTCTGCTACTACTACGACGACCACTGCTGCTGCTGCTGCTGCTACTGCTACTACTACTACTACTACTACTACTCCTACTGGTACTACTCCTGTTACTATTTGTAGTAGTAGTAGTAGTAGTAGTAGTAGTACTACTACTACTACAACTACAACTACAGCTTTTACTACTACTACTACTACTACTACTACTACTACTACTACCACTGCTACTACTACTACTACTACTACTACTACTACTGCTACTACTACTGCTACTACTATTGCTACTACTACTGCTACTGCTGCTACTACTTCTGCTGCTACTGCTACCGCTACCGCGACTACTGCTGCTGATACTGCTACCACGACGACTACTGCTGCTACAAACTTCAACTTCTATTTGTACTTCCACTTCTACCTTTACTTCTAAAGCAACTACTGACTGCTACTACTACTGCTCCACCTGCTGCTGCTGCGGCTGCTGATCATGAATTTTCTTTGGGGGCTTGAGTGTTTCAGGCAGTTGCCCCAGAGCTGGGCTCGGAATTCCACTGCGGATCCCGCAATCTTCAGCTCCAGTTTAGTGTTTGACCTTGTTTCATGAAGCTTGGGCCGAGATTCTTTCGGACCGGTGTATTGGCTGCTTGTCTCTGGCGTTCTCGGTGGCAATAAGCGTTAGCCCCTGAACCAATGTTCAACCCCTTTGTTATGTGCATCATCCGCCATTGTCCTGTTAGGCAAGTCAAAAGCATCATGCTCGATGTCGCCAAGGCTTGCGAATACCTGTGCCTTGGCATCAGGTTCGTGCGGCCACGTCGTATGGTGGCAACGATGGCAACAACAGAGCAGCAGCAACAGAAACACCAACCGACTTGCAGCGAGGACTGTGTTGACAACGGCCTAGCAAGAAACAAGCAGCAGCAGCAACAGCAAAAGCAGCAGTGCTTCTAAACCAGTGGAAAGTTTGTTTTGCCGGGCCATTGCGAAGCCTGCAGCAGGCTTCAGCACTGAGCCTGTGGGGCATGGCGGTTACGACAAACCAGCTCAGAGCTGCAGGAATGACACCTCCAGTGAAGCGGGCAGTGACGCATCCGCGTGTTCACTCGCTATCTGTTATGACGCTGCTTAGCATCTTTCCTATTGCTGCTTTGATATTTTCATCCACACCATTGCTTCATGCCTACCTTCGGTGTGATGTTCATCACTGTCGTCATCATCATCATCATCATCACCATCACCATCATCATCATCGTCATCATCGTCATCATCATCATTAGCATCAGCATCATCATCATCATCATCATCCCTATCATCTTTTTCATCATCATCATCATCATCATCACCATCATCATCACCAACATCATCATCATCATCATCATCATCCTTATCATTATTATCATCATCACCATCATCATCATCGTCATCATCGTCATCATCATCATTAGCATCATCATCATCATCATCATCATCATCATCATCACTATTATCTTTTTCATCACATTCATCACCATCATCATCACATCGCCTCTGCCGCCAGCACCGAACGTTGGTTGATTTTTTGTTGTTGATGATGGTGCTGGTTTGCGGAAACTTGTTTTTGGCTGCGAGTGAGCCATGGCCTCTGCAAGGCACTCCCAGGAAATTATCCATGGAGATCTCACGTCCAACAACGTGCTGCTGCAGACGTGGCCTGGTGCTGCATCCGGTAATTTTTGTTCATATTTCGTAACAGTCATCGACACTGCCCGAGCCCCATGCCGTAAACCTGAACCTCAAGCCACGTAGCATCCAGGAGGCCTGCTTCGGATCCTCAGGAGCTCGGCTTCGTTTGCAAGGCCGGGACTGTTTGGGCCAGGACAAAGGCGTAGGTAGTTGCAGTCGCTCCGAATTCTCAGTGTTCGAGCTGTGTCACGGAAGCCGCGCACCCCCCAAGTCGAAACCCTTCCGTGGTCAGCTGTAGCTTTCGCAGGTGCATGGGGCTAGGAGTATGAAGAGATGGCTCAGTTCGGAGCCTACTGCATCTATATATATATATATACACTAATATATATATATATATATATATATATATACATACAGTGCACACATTCTAGATCCAAATGGTCAGCCACTCCTCCTTACGCCGAAGTGTCTGGAACCCGAATCCCAAGCTCCAAACCCTAGCTTTCAAGTGTCAACGGTAGTGTCCCGGCTACGAAGATGCCTGTTAACGGCTTGGGGTCCCCCAAACCCAAAACCCTAAACCCTAAACCCTAAAACCCTAAACCCTAAACCCTAACAACTCCACCCAAACCCAGAAAACTCTGCTGAGCGTCTGAGAGGTCTGCGACTTTGGGCTCGCCCGGGTCCTGGAGGAAGGCGAGGCCCTGAAACCCCCAGCTCTAATTTAGGGGACCCTAAACCCTAAACCCGTAAACCCGTAAACCCTAAACCCTAAACCCTAAACCCGTAAGCCCTAAACCCTAAACCCAGCAATCGAAAGTACAGCTCTAGTATAGGGGGCCTTAGTAATTATGACAGGGTTTTGGGGGGGCTATACTATGCTATAAAGTACACCCGTAAGGTGCTCAAATCTTCTCAGCTCTAAGCCCGCGCCACCTTTTTATTTCCGCTTGCCTGAAGAGGAAACCTTTACCCCAAACCCAAAGCCCCAACCAACAGCAGACCCTAAACCCTAAACCCTAAACCCTACACCCAAACCCTAAAAACCTTAAAAACAAGAAAGACCCTCAATGAGACCCTGATCCCCAAACTGACCCGCGCCCACCCAAGCTCGTCTGGAGGCGTCTCGACGCTTCTGACCTCCCAGCTCGGCGGCCTGGTGCTGGAAATGGCCTTCGCTTGGGCTTGGGCTTATGAGGGCCAATGGGGGGGCTTCTACTGTAGATATCGCATGGTGTTTTAGTGGGCTTCTAGATATTGCCTGGTATTTTAGTGTATTGTACAGTATTTTCCAACATGATTCAGGTTTGGGGGCCGGGGTGAGGTCTGTTGGATTCGTAGTGTTGGCTTCAGCAGCAATACTGCTTTCACCCGGCTCGCATCTGATGAGACCGAGCTCGTGTGTCTTAGGATGTATGTTTGCTCCAGGTCAAGCTCATGCTTGATGCAGTGAACCTGTACAGTACACGAGGTCCTGTCCGAAGACGAGCACTGCAAACGTCTGGTGAGCGCAGAAACTGTGTGAATATGTGCCCAATCATGCCGACACCCATCTTCTATACTCTGGAAGTTTGCCTTTGTCTTTCCCTCGCTTCGAAATTTGCCCCCCAACAAAGGCACAGTCTCCCACATGCCACCGGAGTTGATCCGGATGGAGAACAGAAGGCTCGGGGTTTAGGGTTCGGGGGGTGCTGTTTCTGCCACTGCCCAGAACATTGAAGACCCTCGAAGTGCTTTGTCCTCATGTCTTTGAGTTTGAGAGAGAGAGAGAGAGAGAGAGAGAGAGAGCGAGAGAGATATGTATACTATATATCTATGTATACATATACTACCCCCCTCTGAAACCTACCTCAAAGCCTCCTGTTGTGCTTTCTAGACTGCGTTGCGACTCTACTCCGGACACAAGTCTTATATATCCCGTAATCGTTCAAACCAAGTTAGTGATACGAAGTATTTCCTAGTATGCCCTGTCTGGGACAACACAAAACCGTTCAATCCAAGATGATGGCACTACGTATTGCCTAGTATGTCCTGCCTACGACCTTACAAAACCCAGGTAAAGATAATAAGTATTGCTTAGTATTCCCTGTCTACGACGACACAGCAGCGTTCAAACCAAATATTTTGATACTGCGCACTGCCTAGTATTCTCTGTCTACGACCACGCAAAAACCGTTCAAACCAAGATCATATCAAAAGTATTCTACTACTGTCCTCTGTATACTACGCTAGTACACGGTTGGCTTCTGATGATGGTTTTCCTTTTTCAACTCTTATCTGTGGGTGTGCGACAGGGTAGTCTAGAATAATTTCTAAAGGGTATCCTAGAAGGTATTCTAAAGGATATTCTATGAGGTATGTTTGAGGTATATTATGTATCCCTTATTAGATAAATTTCGATTTGTTCAAGGAGTTCCTGGATCCTAGATTTCGCGTGTTCTTCACATGAGCCCCTTACCCAATAAATTCAACTGGAGAACTGGCAGAGTTTCGGTATACAAGGCGTATGGGGGGGTATTCTATGGTATTTCTTCAATTTATATGAACTTCTTTAAGGAGGGTGTTCTGTAAGGTATTCTACAGGGTATTCTCCTTTATTCATCATGTCTTGCATATAAATCCCTTGCTCAAAAAGCTACAAGATGGGCTCCGGTATACGGGGAATATCGTGTATAGGGTTTTCTACACGGCATTCTATGGTGTATTTCAGATGGTTTTCTGCAAAACTTATATAGGGTATATAAGAGAAAAGCAACGTATTCTGGGGCATTCTATACGGTATTCCATAAGGTATTGTGTAAAAGGTATTGTTTAGGGTGTGTATATATATATATAGGAAAGAACTCTATAGGGTATTTTATAGGCGAAAGGGTATTCCATAAGGTATATACAAGTTATTTAGGATAAATTCTATATGGTATTGCCTAGGGTATATAGAGGGTGTTATTCTATAAGGTATATTCTTATACTAGTAGGTTCATGACTTCCTTCATAGGAAACGGTTTGCTACAACCCAACTGGAAATTATCAGATATTGGGCTCCGGCTGATGTTCCATATTTAACATCCTCATCTATATCGCACTCTATAGGGTATTCTATCGGGGAGTCGAATACGTATCTTAGAAGGTATCCTATAAGGGGTATATGCACTCTTAAGGTACACAAAGCGTATCATACATAAGCGGTCTTCTACAAGGTATTCTACAAGGTAGTGCAGATAGTCTGCTATAAGATGTATATAGGGTATATAGAAGGTATTGTATCAAGTATTAGACAACGTAGTCTTGAAGACTCCCTATAGGGCTATAGGGCATTATGCAGGGTATTCTATACGGTATATATGGGTGGTATTCTAGAATGCATACGTGTCAGCGCTCACATGGTCTGAATGCTAATGCCTAGCTAAGGTACATATCATAAACTGACAACATATCGTATCTGACAATATGATGCTCATATCCACCATAATGGTTCCGTAAAATACTGAATTATACTGAATTATGCCGAAACCCGGCGGATCAGAGATCAGAGATGCCACGGACAAGTTTTCCACGGCATCTCCACTTTCTGATCTCTGATCTGGGCAGGGTTTCAGTATGAATACTGAGCTATACTGAACTGTACTGAAACCCGGCCCGGATCAGAGATCAGAGATCAGACCACGGCATCTCTGATCTCTGATTTGGGCCGGGTTTCAGTATAAATATTGAACTAGGCTGAATTACACTGGACATGATCCGGCATACAGGGTCCCTTTCGTCTTATCTAGTAATGTTCGTATACACTTTTCCTTGTGTGCGTGTGTGTGTGTGGGTGCATTTGTACAGACATGCGATCCCGTGTGGTGGCATACATGTATGCAGACAGGCTGGGAGGTAGGTTTTAGGGGGTACCATATATAACTATATACATGTATATAGAGTACGCGCTGAATGGTTTTATGCAAGAACTAAGATGCGACAGGTACTAAAAGCTGGGGCCTGTATTGTGTCAGTTTCTGTATATATATATATATACATATATATATATATACATATAAATACTTGTATATGTATATATATATATATATACAACATGTATGTAGAGACCGACCGACACAGAACACTAATAGTAGTAAAGGCAACCGTGATGATAAGTTTTTTCTCCGCAAACCCTGAGCCCCGAGCAGCCCAAAGCCGAGCAGGTTAACCAAGAAGGTGGACATTTACGCCATGGGCATCCTCCTTTACCAAGCCTTGCTTGGAAGACTGCCCTTCGCGGGAGCCTGAACGGAATGTTAAATTCTAGATTGAAGCTTCCATCTCGACGAGATAGAAGCCGCAATGCAGAGGGTTTGTTTTGGAGGACCCAGAGTGTCAGCTTTCCCGAAACCCTAAACCTGGGCCTTCCCGGAGAGTAGCCTTTATTATGGGATCCTGCGGGTGAGATGGTTCAAGGGGAGATGGCACTGCGTACCCTTGAGAAACCTCAAGGAATACTAGAGAGAATTGAAACGGAGAGTGCGAATACTAGGTCATGTACCCCCGTTGGATCACCCTTAGCTTTACCCGGCGGCATGTTGCTGTCTCCAGGAAAGATGGCGCCACAGATCATCATCTTCATCGCGAGCGGAAAAAGGCTTGAACTCGATGATCAAGTGCCACAAGATGTGCCTCTGCTTGACTTCAGAACCATATGACCAAAGCCAGTTCTGAACAAGTAATGCTCGGCCTGGGGAATCCGATTGCCACCCAAAACAGCAGTCACGGCAACGTGCATTCATGAAATCGACAGATATCGACAGAGGTGGTCGACGCGTGCTCCACGATGAGCATAAACTTGCTGTCGCTGCTGCCACTGCTGCTGCAGCTGCTACTGCTGCTGCTGCTGCTGCTGCTGCTGCTTCTACGTCTACTGTGAAGACGACGACGACTGCGACTACTACTACTTCCATCATGTACAGTCCTATTGATTCTGGTGACAGGCCAGTATTTTTTGGACTGCTACCACTAATGCCACTACCATTGCTGCTGCTGCTGCTGCTGCTGCTGCTGCTGCGACGACAACAACAACTACTACCAGCGCCAGCACCAGCATCGAAGACCAGCGCCAGCGCCATGATCGGCACCAGCACCAGCGCCAGCACCATGACCAGAGTCTTGCGCACTGCACATGCTGGTGGATTTGGCCGTCTCAGTTGAACTGACCGGGCCTGGCTGCGGTGGTCAGCCGATGGTAAGGACGTTGCAATGAGCGGTTTGCATTTACTGCGTGCCGCTGCCTTCGTGATCATGGACGCAAGCATGCTTCGCCTATCCTAGCTTCGATTTCCGGGTAACGAGTGACAACTACGGAACAGTCCCAAGCTGCACCAAGGTTCGACGGATATTTTCGGATTGCACTGCACCGCTTCCGGAAGCAAGGCCGTGTGCCGAGGCCTCCGTAGGTACACTAGCTAGAGCGATGCTTGTGAGGGTTCTAGCTGCGCAGCTTCTGAAGAACGGTGAATCGAAGTGTCGTTGAGAGATTCGTTGCGCGTTCCAGCCAGGGCTTTGAGTCTTCTGCATCCCACCTCTGATTCTCAAGGCCCCTTTCTTGGCCCCTGCCACGAGCCACGTGAGGAGCTGGTCCGGCGGTTCAGCTAAAGCCACGGACCTGGCGGGGCCGAAGCTGGGAGAACTTCTGGCCTTGACCACGCCAAGCACCGAAGCCCACGTCTGAGCCAAAGAGCTTCCCACGGCTTTGTGTCAGTGCGACATGTGAGGTGTGGGAGTCGCTGCTACTCTGATTTTCCACCGAAACGCCGCGCAAATGTGAAGCTGCTGATTTTGTTGCCGAATGCTCCTGCCGTAAGCTACAGACGCTACCACCCGAAGTCCCCAAATCAGCGATGCGAGAGTGTTTCTTTTCGGGATCCGCGGTTGCAACGTACGGCCGAAGAGAGTCACGCATGCCTGCAGCCGTGTTCGGCCCGGGTGAATCCTCACCCTGATGATGGGCGAGCGCACCGCACCATAATGAAGCCGCTTGCCCGATGTTTTGGTGCTGCTGTCGTTTCGACCCGTATGTCCCAAAACAAGTACATGACACTCCGCGAAATTTGTAGCATACTTTCAGTGCGGCCAGTCCCGCTGCTTGGCTTCCAAGGCGTTTGAAAGCAAGCTGGGGGCGAAGGACCAACGACGAAGCCTATCAACATTCTGTACATCGTCGCCTTTTTTTCTTTTTTCTGACTTTGTGTGGCCTGTGCAATCATTACGTCTCTGACTTCTTGTGCATGTCACACTCACTGTTCTGCTTTTTACTCAGACGGTGTTGCCCATACCCATAAGTCCGCTCTGCCGATGCAGATCCATCAACATGCAGCGGTACAATGGGAGCGAAGCAGCATGTGAGAATACAAGATCGTACTGTAGTCACTGCAATAGGCAAGCATTCTGCTAGCAGCACAGACACACGACTGCGCATCACCGCAACATTCTCGCAAATCTTGATACACTGTCTTTTGAAGCTGCTGCGAACCAATCACAGTGCATCATCACGGTGCATAGCTAAGCACCACCACAGCATCAAGCCGATCTTCTTTTGCCTCTGCTCCATCTGAGGCTCCTGTTTGCGCTGGGGTTCCTTCACGAGGCTCATGGCATAGCGTTGCAGACGCCCCCTGGCAGCAAGCAAAAGCCTGGGCCTAGGCGGTAGTGGGGGCTAGCGGCTAGCTGGGTCCAAGACGGAGGCTCGTTAGGCCCCAGGAGCCGCGCCTTTGAAGACGACCCTTTGCTTCCTTCTTGTGCGGTTGTGGGGGTCCATGATATCCCTGAGGTCCCAGGGGCAAGGCTTTGCGCCGGCCAGCTGCAGCCCCGGAGTGCAACAGTTCAGAGGGCAGAGACCGGCTCGCCCAGCCCCCCATCCTTCCATAGTCCATGGTGTGTGCGGCTTTTGTGCACCTTGTTGGGGCTCGCCTCGTTTTTCCTGTAGTTACCGCATCTGGCGTAAGCTGTGAGCCATCTCCCATAGGCCACACGCGAACCATGCCTGGACGTTTCGTGACAGCATCCCAGATGGTGCTCCATACTTCGTCTCAGAAGAGCTCGAGAAGCTACCAGAACCCCACGAGGAGTGTTCACTGGAAGCTTTCTGACCTGTTCAACAGCAGACCTGCAGCTGACACGAGTGCGGAGAGTTTCGGGCTCCGTGTCACCATGGCGTGTTCGGCGCTTTCGGAGTTGCACGAACGCGGGGCATTGCAGACTTCACACGCAGATGTGTGCGGGGTTACGGTGTCTCGGTCAGACCTAGTCCACCTTAGGACCACCTTGTTGCCCTGGTAGGACATGATGGCGGCTGAGTACCTTGTGGCTCGCACGAACCACGTCACGACAAAGTTCGAGAAGCTCGGCAAGCCCACCCCCGCCCCCCCGCCCCCGGCCCCACGGACAGAAAGCCAAACAAGCCCCAACACCACCACTCCTGCACCGTTTTGAGCCCACAGGAAGGGTCCAGCCCACGCCTGCGATGATGGGGAGCATGCCAGCAAAAACAGGCCCGGGCAGCTGAAGTAACTCGCCTCGTTCTGTTGAGGCTACTGGGCTGCGCGGGCTGAGAGGGGTGCCCGTTGCACAACGTCTGCCCCATTTACAGTAAAGAGCATCGACAGCAGGCACCGCGACGGCTTCTTCCTCTAGAGTAAAGAGTTGTCGTCGCGCTGGTTGTTGTTGGCGAAGTGGAGCAGCAATATCTACGATGGTAGTGATTCTTCGGCCCATAAGCAGCATTGGATCCTGAACCGGCCCCACGTAATGCACTCGACAGGTGTCTGACGGTGGAGAACCGCAATTGTGCCTGGGACCATCCACGGCTCCAGAATTGGGGGTGTCGGGAATTCCGATGTTGTTTGTTTTTCGGTAATCGGTAATCAAATCTTGCTTTCTGGTCTCTGAACTTTAACTGCTTCTGGAAGCCTTCCCTGTGGACTCCCGCCCTGGGGCCACAGTTGCTTCTGTAGCATCAGACGGTGACTCGGCACATCGCAGGAACGGCAGCAGCAGCAGCAGCAGCAGCGGCAGCAGCAGCAGCAGTAGCAGCAGTAGCAGCAGTAGCGGCAGTAGCAGCAGTAGCAGCAGTAGCAGCAGCAGTAGCAGCAGTAGCAGCAGTGGTCGTCGTAGTAGTAGTAGTAGTAGTAGTAGTAGTAGTAGTAGCAGCAGTAGCATTAGCAGTAGCAGCAGTGGTCGTCGTAGTAGTAGTGTTACATCGCGGTCACTAGTGTTATACAGGTCTGCCATGTCCACATGCTCCAGTCAGCATCGACGTTTTGACGCTTGGCAAAGGCATGTGGGTTCGGCTTCACAGCCATGACCCACGGCCACTCGTCCCCAAGGAGAAGGCCTACTGCATGTCGCTCAGCTGTATTACTATTTAGCCCGTGCAGAGTGGAGTCTGGAAGACTCAAGCGTGCAGCACCAGTAGAAGTTGGAGAAGCCAGAGCTGCAGCAGACACAGCAGCAACAACAGCAGCAGCACTGCTGCTGCTGCTGCTGCTGCTTCTACTCGTGCTACTCCTGCCCCTCCACCTCCTCCACCTCCTCCACCTCCTCGCCCTCCTCCTCCTCCTCCTTCTGCGCATGCCTATGCCCATGCCTATGCCGACGCCGACATCCTCTCCTCCTCCCCTTTCCTTGCTACAATAACAACAACAAACACTACTACTACTACTACTACTACTACTACTACTACTACGTCTACTGCTAGTACCACTGCTATTAACTACTAACTACTAACTACTTACTACTTGCTACTTGCTACTAACGACTTACTACTTACTACGTACTACTTGCTACTTGCTACTTGCTACTTGCTACTTGCTACTTGCTACTTGCTACTTGCTACTTACTACTTACTACTACTACTACTACTACTACTACTACTATTACTACTACTACTACAACAACTACTACTACTACTACTACTACTACTACTACTACTACTACGACGGCGGCGGCGGCGGCGGCGGCGGCGGCTGCTGCTGCTGCTGCTGCTGCTGCTGCTGCTGCTACACCTACTCCCAGTCCTGCTGCTACTACTGCCACTGCCACTGCCACTACTTCTAGGACTTGCGCTAGTACTGCTAGGACAATTGCAACTGCAGCTACAGCGACAAATGATTACTGCTGCGACGACCGCAACTTCGACTATGATCACTACCACTATCACTACCTCTACCACTAGCACTACCACTATCGCTATCTTAATCGCTACGGCTATAACAACAACAACAACAACAACAACAAGAGCGATAACTTTAAAACTAACACCCGCTACTGCTACTGGTACTCTTATGGCGGCTAGTTCCACTTTAGTCGTATCTGCTACTATTAGCAAGGCCCTGTGAGCTGGATGGCGTTGACTTGCCTTGTTGGAACTCTGGCGCCTGGCTCGGCGGCAGCCAGGCCGCCGGGCTCTCGCAGGATTTGCGAATTTTTATTTGTGAGCTTACCCGAGCGATGCTCACGTGTCCAGAACGACGGCTTGGCTGATCTTTATGAGGGTTGTGAGAAGTCGGTCTGTAGGAGAAGTGGATGTTGTCCGTAATAATAGGTAGCACGGTCCAAGAGGAGTTTGGCTGAGGTTCTTTGGGCTTTAGGCCGATTTCCGAGGCGCCGAACCAACTCGGAGAAAGCCTCTGTCATGATGCACATGAGGCATGCACCTACTCATCTGAAGGCATTCTTCGACATACTCCTCGCCTTCCTGTAACGCTTGAAAATCTGTTCATACCGCTTTCCGCCTTCGTCGGCACAACATCATCATCGTCAAAGCCGGTCGCATCATCAACATCATCGTCATCGCGCTTAGTTATGTTGTTCGCAGCACTGTGCTACTACTGGTGTTAGCCTATGGTGATGACGACGACGATGATGATGATGTTCCGGTGAGGATGATTATGATGCTGATGTTGTTGATGATACTTATGATGCTGCATATGTCGTCTAAAACGCGGGGGGTGATGAGCTACACCTTCAATTTATAGGCATCCCTGACGGCCACCTGCTTCCTGTAGCGACCACCTGTGCAGACACGGCAAGCCATCCGCAGGTGGTGGAGTGTGAGATGTCCTGTTTGCACCAGAAGAGAGCTGCTTGGATGTGGGTCTTCGAGGGTCCGCACTTTGAGTCTTGCGGGGCTTTGGTGCTTCTACCGTGATTTGCTTCGTGTCCTTTCCTTGGATATGTTGCAACAGGTACCGGTAGAGCCGATTAGAGGGGGTGCAGATGGTGCAGGGGATTTCGGGCTGGAGAGGTGTGGAGCTGGAGCTTCGAGCCAAGGTGATGCAGCCGCAGTACTCTTGTACCGATTTTACTGGGGTGGCACCTCGGCTCCGTTTGAACCCCCAAAGCCTCGCCCCCGTCGCCACCAAGGCGCGGAGACGTCCCACGATCCTCGGCCCCCACCCCAATCCTTGGGCCCATGGTTCACATTGTCGGATGGACTTGTCTAACTCATATTCCACAATCTTCCCAAGGCCGTCTAGTCACGGATGTCGGGGCTGGTTGCGCAACCCTAGTGGAGAGCCTTCCAGTGGCCCTGAGCCATAAACGAGCATGTTGTAATGATTCTGATCCTGTTTCCAGCTCTTCTGGTATTACGACTGTACAGATGATTTCATCATCTTGACAATAGACAACCACGACAAGGGCTCAAAGCAGCACGTGGCAAGAGAAAAATCACATCATCACATCACCAACCACCAACATCGACGAAGACGACAGGAAGAGGCACAGCTAGGCTTCCTTTGTTGCTGCTACTCCTGCAGGGCTTGTGGGGCTTCAGGCCCATGCTCAAGGCTATCGTGCTAGCTCTTGCATGTTGTATGTCACACTACTCTGCCACCTAGACGTGCCCCTTGAATCAAGCGTCTTTTGAGGACAGCCAGACCTCCTGTTTCAGCCGTGGAGATCAGACCAACTCCAGGTTCCGATGATTTGGGATTAGACTGATTGTCTTCCAGTGTAGGACGGTTGGTGAAGCAGGTGTGGTGTCGAGTCTTCGCAGTTGCCGGGCCAGCTCTTTGCCGCTTCCCAAATGCTACAGGTGCATGTTCATCACGTACAAGGACCCGGAACTGTGGGCAAGTGCTTCGCATGCAAGGTGATTGATCGTGTCGCCGCAGGGATGGCCAGTTTCCTGCAGGGACGCAGTATTGCTCCTGTAAAACGCGCGCCATGTCGCCGGCTGGGGACGAGAGCTCCGAGGAGGAGAGCCAGGGCGGCCCGGATGCTAGCCGCATCTGCACTGAGTTGAGCACGGTGCTGGATGCCCAGCGCCTACGTGGTGTTCCCCTGCATTGGGCACTCCAACTGCGGCATTGGGCGAACGTGGAAGGCCAGGTGAGTCAGGCGACAAACGCAAAGAACTACAGCGATCTGAGTCGTCCAGTCAAGGCGCTAGACTCTTTCGTAAGCCACGACTGGGCTTCAAGCGGTTTTCTGAAAGTCCTGTCGTTGCTGATCATCTACAACTCCCGTGCTGCATTTTGCACCAGCCTCGTGGTCAGTATCCTTGTGGGAGTCCTACGGGGCTTTGGCCGGCTGCCCAACGAGCACTGGACGGTGGTCTTCGGATTTTTCTCCTTCTTCGTCGTCTTTGGTTTTTGGCCCCAGCTCCTGAGGCCCTTCCGACGCCCCACCATGGTCTTCGTGGACAAGCTGTGCATTGCGCAGCATGACGCCGGCTTGAAAAGGGACGGTATCATGGGAATGCCGGCCTTCCTTCTGAACTCAAATGATCTCATCATCTTGTTCACATCGAATTACTGCAAGCGACTATGGTGTTGCTTCGAGATGGGTACGTTCTTGAAGGATGTGTCGAGGCAGAGGAACATCCGGATCATGCCCTTGATGACAGCTCAACTCCTTTGTTTGGCTTCCGGGATCTGGTTTCTCTTGGTCATCGGCTGGAATGTCCTGTATTACGAGTTCATTACTTTTTCGGGGGAAATCAAGTCTGGCCAGAACCCGTTGACAACAGGCATGGTGCTCAATGGCGTGATGCTGCTCGTGGCTGCTGCGGCAGTTCTGCCACTCTTCTATCTGGGCATCGAGCTAGTCGCGGAAATGGACGAAGCAGTTGGGCAGCTCGCAGCATTTTCAGTGCAGGACGCTGACTGCTTCTGCTGCTCCATCAACCACCGGCATCCGCGCACAGGAGCGCAGCTGCCATGTGACAGGCAGATGATGTACAGCATGCTGAGCAAGTGGTATGCCCCCGAGCGAGAAGGATTGGAGTCTGACCGTCTTCCTCTCGACAAGTTTGATCTCAAGATCCGCAAAGAGCTGGCTCCACGCATTGTAGCGGTTGCAAGTGGCTTTGCCTTGCCCTGGAACTACACACTGTACATGGTCGGCGCGAGCAGTGTTCCATACATTGCAGACCCCATCGCGAGGTGGATTGCCGCTTATAACTCTGATGATGGCCTTTCTGGTTATGCTTTCTTTGTTTGGAGCTTGCGAGTGGCAGCGCGGTGGGGTACAGTGGCATTGGCCAGCCTTTTGGCGGTTCGGATATCTTTGCCGCTTTGGAAGCTTGGCCTCCGGGTATGTTGGAAAGACTCGAGAAAGGTCCGTTGGCTCATCGTGCTCTTGACCTCCATGGTTGTAGTGATTTTTACCTCCTTGGTCTGGGGTTCGGTTTTCTTCTCTTTGGGGCAAACCGCAGACGATCAACTGCTTCCGGTGCTTCTTCTTCTATGCTGGTTTCTGTGTGCTTGTGGACTCCACTGGAGGTTCTCGGCCGGCAGGAGCTTTCATGGCAGTGATGCGCAGACAAAGCACACCGCGGCCGATGAAACCTTTAGCATATGAGTTTGGTTTCTGCATTTTCTGCACCCGCTTATAATTCGCTTTTCTTCAACAATCTTCTCAGTGTTTCTTTAAACAGCAAAAAGCTGTTCTTTCCACCCAAAAGGTAGTTTGGCACCAGGCCATGCTCTCCTTCGCCACAAAAGTGGCGAAGGTAAAGACTGCAGAGCAGAGAAAAGACTTGCATATATGGTTTTTGTAGATGGTGGAGAATGCTCGAAGGAGGCGGTTATTGCGATTACAGGCTGGGTTGTAGTTCGTGAAATTATTCTGCCTACTGTAGCTGGGCACCGCTGGCAGCCATGCAGCAGCTGCAGTGCAGCCTGTTTCGTGAGTTGAATATGTCCGAGAGCCCCTGGTTTGTGCCCACACAGCTTGACTGGATGTTCCTGAGGATCAGTCGGGAGCAACCAAGTCATCCTGTGCTCCCTGTGAACTGGCGGGTATTGGGAACATCGACTGCCCGGCGATGGGCGGTAAAGGCAAGGGCAGAACTTGGTCTGTGCTGAGTGTCAGAAGAGGCGTTGAGGTTGGCAGAGGCGTGGTGCGAGGCAGGCACGCTGGGTTGGGTTGAACTCCATTGAACTCCTGAAATCTTCAGTTTGTTGGTCGTCTCCGGGGCAGGTCCGGAAGACAACTCAACAGTTGCCGCCTGCGCCAGCCAATGTGACGCCTTGCACGCATCAGGAGTGGTAGTAGTAGTGGTAGTAGTAGTAGTAGTAGTAGTAGTAGTAGTAGAAGTAGTAGTAGTCGTCGTCGTAGTAGTCGAAGTAGTAGTAGGAGGCACAGAGCGACAGTACAATGTACATGAAGAGCTCACATAGCCCTGAGTAATACATATCCAGTGTAACATAACAACGAATCGACAATAAAGATATTCGTGATACTTGTAATGTTGCAACATTCACGTTCAGAATTGTGCAGAGCACAGCAGTGAGCCTCACCATCAGCATTGCCCAGCATTGCTACTCGATGGTTCTAGTATCTAGTGCCGTTAGTAAGCGAGTAGCATTTCGGGTGATAGTTAGATGGTGATGATCGAGACCGTGACGATGATGCCTCGTTGTCGTCGTGGTCGTCGTCGTCGGTGTTTTTGCTGTTGTTTCTGCGGTTGCTGCTGCTGCCGGTGATGCCGCTGCTGTTGTCGTGGTCGTTGTCGTGGTTGTTTGATGCTTGCTGTTGTCGTCGTGGAGGTGCTGATCATACTCATAATCCGGTATTGTGTTCACGGTGACAAGAGTTTCAACTGTATTTCATCATCATCATCTTCTTCTTCTTCTCCTCGCTTTCGTTGCTGATTTCTGTCGGGTTTCAGTCAGAGTCAGTTGCTTTCGTTGGTGCCGCGGCTACCCTTGCTGCCGGTGCTGCTGTTGCTGCTGGTATATGCTGCTATTCCTGCAGCTGCGGTGCTTGTTTGTCTGCTGTTTATGGTGGGGAGGCATGCGTGCATGCATAACTTGATGTTCTCTGTATCCATGCGCAATTTCTGCCGCGCCTCCTTCACTCGTAAGTTTGTCTCCTGGCATAATCAGGAATATTCTTATGGCTGCTATCAATCATTTTATGATTTTTGTACTCTTATTACTGTGTTTCTGAATAGTAACCCTAAACCCTAAACCCTAAACCCTAAACCCTAAACCATTCTCAAAAACAAGGGAGAGCTCTTGGTAGTGCTCGGAACCCAGGAGGCCCCTCGCCCGGACGCGGGCGTGACCTTGGCCCCTGCAGTTGCGAACCCAGGCCCGGGTTTGGGTTTAGGGTTTAGGGTTTAGGGTTTAGGGTTTAGGGTTTAGGGTTTAGGGTTTAGGGTTTAGATATGGGAGCTTCCGAAAATAAGGGGGTACCTTATTTTGGGGTCTTTATAATAAGGATCCTGCTGTTTAGGGTGTATCAGGGTCCCCTATGTTAGGAAGCCCCCATATGAAGAGGGACCTCAAAGTGGACATTGCTGGCTCGAATGTAGGGGTTTTGAGCGGATATTGCAGGGCTAAATGTCATAGTAAGGAACCCCAAGCACCAGTATTACCAATTATTCTGGCTTCCATCTTCGGGCGACACGCCGGCTCCAGGGTTTCGGTTCGATGGTTTGCGGCGCGCAACTACTGTGGCATCAAAGCTGGAACCACAGAAAAGAATGTGGCATGCGCAGTTCGCTGCAGACATGAGCTGCCAACATGAGGTCATTGTGTTATGGGGGAGTGTTCACATATTGCTGGGAGATGCAACCTGCCGCGTGGTTCAATCGGGACTTGGGGATTTTTTGCTTTTGAGCTCAAGGCTCCGTGGGTCCATGTGGCAGGGGTTTCAACCACACGATTAATTTTTATTAAGAATAGGTTGAGTATGCCGCTCCTGCGTGTATACTCACGTAGTAGTCAGCTCAGAATACTCAACTCAGAGAACCGCTCGCAGAAACACGGTAGAGCCACACAGTGCTCCTTGGATCTTATTGCATGCTACAGAGGCTTGCCAGAAAGGCAAGCTGTTGTCGGAAAAGCCAGAGGGCCCTCAGTAATCAAATCTGGGTTTGGGGGGGTACTTTATGGCATGGAAACTTCAAGACGCCCTAAGCAGAAGTATTGGTACCGTTGGTTTTCACTCAGGGCCCTTTTACCCTAAACCCTAAACCCTAAACCCTAAACCCTAAACCCCTAAACTTTATCTGTGCCAAGTGGAAGCATGTGAAATCCTTCGACAGCCGGACCCTGGAGCGAGGCCTCAGCCGGGTGGCATCGAGTCCGGAGGCACGCGGGTTCCTCTTTTGCGACATGGGAGTTTCCGAAAATTAGGGTCCCTTTTGGGTACCCTAAAATAGGTGCCGTATTATATTACGGACCCAAAAATGGTGAGGAAGATAAGAACAACGAAGAAAGCTTACATCGCAAGGGATTGCTGGTTTATGACAGCCAAGGCCTGCTGTGAAAGTAGTGCAGACAGGCACGCCAGCGAGAACGTCGACCGCCTAGCGCAAGAAGTACCAGCATGATCATACTAGGATCATACATAAAAGCAGGTATGCGGACGATATCGGAGACCCAGAGGATCGTGGTGCAAGAACTGATTGACCAAGGTGTGTAAAGTGTAGGGTGGTACGACTGTTCAGAGTCACCGGAAAATCACCGGAATCTCTTCCGGACGCAAGTTTTTCTTCCAAACGACTGGTGCTGACGTCATGCTTGTAGTCACCCAGACCCAAGACGATGTGGGGGAGAGTGCCCATAGCCTGGCTACTGCAGATAGCAGGGGTGCCTAAGCCTGAAACTTTAAAGTTGCTGAAGCTCACAGGAAATGGTCTCTGCGCCCGTCTCGCCACCACTGCCTCCAGCAGAAGGGGAGACCGCCCTGGCTACCAGAGCTCAGGCAGGGCTACTACCCCGCATCCACTCCTACTCACTTGCAGTTTCTAGCCATGGAGGTCTCTTTATGCTTGTGGGGGTTTGGCAGTGCCTCTTATAGGCACCACTGCTGATTTTTGCTGCAGCTGCTACGACAATTGCCAGAAGATTGGTGGTTTGTATGGTCCAGGTTCTATGGAATAGTTGGGAGAGTCTGCTGGTAAGTAGATGTGGTTGTGGTGGAGGCGGTAGTAGTCGTAGTCGTAGTGGTGGTCGTGGTGGCGTTGGTAAGTGGTAGCGGTGCCAGTAGCATAACAGAGCTAGGACGAGGAGTAGTAGTAGCAGGAGTGTTCCAGTAGTCGTCGTCGTAGATGCAGTCGTAGTCGTAGTCACAGTCACAGTCGTAGGTGTACTCGCAGTCGCCCCTGTCGTTGCGTTAGTCGTAGTCGCAGTCGGAGTCGCAGTCACAGTAGTGGCAATGTCTCAGCATTCTTCAGCGATGTCGGAGCGCCAAAGTGATAATGTTCGAGGGATGAGCCGGTGGTAGTATTCGACGCGGTGGCCATGGTAGTAGCGGAAGTAGAATTCTTCGGTTCATCAGGGGCAGGTCAAGAGTCTCAGGACGGGCTCGTGAGGGGTGTCGATGATGGTGTCACGGTGCTCTCCCCCAACTTGATCCACAGGTCGCCGACCGCATGACTACAACAACTCCCTATGGTCACCTGCTCTGCCAATGGGAGACGGCGTTTGAGAAGGGATCTGCCCTCGTCAGTTGATCATATCGTGTGCTAGGGCTCATCGCAAGTTTCGAAGGAGGAGAGGTAGTGGCAGTGGAGATTTAGCGGACGCGGTGGCTGCTGCTGCTGCTGCTGCTGCTGCTGCCTTGGTTGTGTTTCTTTTGTTTGCTTGCTTGTTTGTTTGTTGTAGTTGTCGCTGACCTCGTCGTCGAGGTGGTGGCTGTCGTCGTCGTCGTTGTTGCTGCTTCACTCCGATGCCCGCCAAGGTGCGAGACTCTCGCGCGTGCGTCCGAATGAACATGAACGTTGTTGCCGCTACGGTTCACAGACGGCACCTTCGATGTGCTAACCAAGCTCCGGGCGCAACTTTAAAGGTCTGCAGCGGGCTGCTTTGCGAAGCTTCAAACACGTCCCTTTGCTTGAACCATTTGAGACTGCCCCGGAGCGTCGTGTCTCTGTAAACGCATCCCAATTCCCGGACCTCCGGTAGGGTTTCCACCTTTCCGCGCGGTCGAAGGAGCAGTATTTGGTGTAAACCAGATGTTGCAGCACCAAGCTCGTCAAGGAGCAGCTCCAGTTCTACATTGACCGTCTTCTGAACTTGGGTACCCTGAAGGAAGCTTTCAAGACGAGGTCTGGTGCCGTGCTTCCCTTCGAATTTTGTGGACGAGACACCCAGGGGCAGCCAAAGAAACTCTCTGCACAGTTCTGCTGGCATTCTGGTTTTGCGCCTCTGCGGGGGCTGTCTCAGAAGCGGGACCTGGATCGCCTGGGCTTTTAGCGCAATCTGCCTCGGCAACTACACCTTCGTACGCAAGCAGGGTAGACTGCCATTGGCTGCGACATAGCCAGTGCGATCGAGCACTCAGCTGCCAGCGCCTGGGAACAAGTCAGACACAGGAGAAGATGTAAGCAACGTTACGGGTTGCAACTCGAAAGCATCCTTCCCATGCTGGCCCTGATGCGTGCTCCAGGGATTTCTCGTGCTATGGGGTGCCCTTGTGCAGGGGAGGCCTTTCCGCAGGCCGCCGGGCCAGACTTGCTTTCGAGACAAGGCGCAGGTTGGGACACAGTGGACTCAGGTTCAGAAGCGCAGGCTAACGTCTGCAGTCCCGACATTCCACGTCATATCCAAGTATACAGTCGTTAAGCGGACGCGTTGCTGTGCCATGGGTGTCGGGCTATGGCTACGGCCCTCCCAACTGTGCTCGTTGGTGTCCTGTCACCGACGGACTGGACTAGACGGGAACTCTGGGAGTCGGCTCTTCGCAGTACGACCCACCGGCTGCCAGTTCGTGATATAGGACGCAATGACTCGCGCCGAGGGTGATGGAAGTTACATGGCCCAAACCCGGTGACCCGGGCTGTCACATGCGGAATTGTACAGACGCTACCGCCCGGGCATCGCTCATGCTAGATCAGCCGTAAGCAAAGTCAAGTGACTTGCCTCCTTGAATTAAGTGCCCAAGCGCTGCCACTGCGCTGTACTACTTCGATTTACCCAGGCCTTACTCCCTCACCTTGCACAGGCAATTCGTTTTTCCTTGTCTGGGATCCTAAATCGGTTGAGCGGGGTTCGTTCTTAGTTCCTTCGGTTTTTGTGTTCCTGTTTTTTGGTTAATGGCTAGCACGAGGCCTCGGAGCAAGTGCTACTTGTCCCTTGCTCCGAAAACGGATGAAAGAGGTAGCTGCGACGATCGCGGCCGCTATGAGCAGAGTCCGCTCGCTCATCGTCCTTTGAAATGTTGTTGTTGTGGTCGTCGTCGGCTTGTTGTCGTTTGCTTGTTGTGGTTATTGTTGGCCCTCCCCAACCCGAAAACACAACAGCCTGGACTTTCCCTTTTTTAGTGACTTTAGTGTTAGGCATGACCCCTGCAAGAAGCCCATAAAATCTTAAATCATGCCCAGCCACGTGGGAAGCCAAGAAATTTAGGGTTTCGGGCTCCCGACATAATTCGAGTAATCAAAGCATATTAAACCGCAACAGGCCCTAAGTATTGAGGCCCCATTTGTACGGCCTCCCGCTGTGTGCGCTCCTTCCGAGGCAAAGCCCCCGAGTACTTTCCCATGGCCCCTGGGCTGATGCAACCGATCACGACCGCTATTTTCAGGTCCAGTTTTGGGCACGAACGTTCCTAGAAGGAGGAGGGCGGTGCAATCCGACTACAGTGAACTCCATAGTTTCGGATCTTTTCCGTAATTTTGGTATAGTTTGACCTGCAGGAGCGTGATACACATTGATGTCGTTACTGACGCCCGTCCTCGTGACATGTTAAATAAAGCATAAGCATGCAGCATAAGCATATATATATATATATATAGAATTAGCAGTCACAAGCACGACTGGCAAGAACAGTGGTGATAGTGGTCATAGCTGCTGTGGGGAAGCACCCGTACTAGAACAGCAAGGGCTTCTAGCATTGCTAGAAGGCATCGTGATAACTGCACTAGTAACAAGGAACATGCAAATACCCAATCCCAGCCTTGTAGCAGCGGCGCCTACTGCTGCAGCTGCTGCCGTTGCTGCTGTTTCTATTGCTGCTGCTGCCTGCTGCTGCTGCCTGCTGCGTACAGAGTGTCTGTACGAATACCGACGGCAGATGCAATGGTGCAAGTAGCGAGGGCGAGACGATGTCGGGATACTGTGGTAGTGGGTGAGCAGGAGGTTTAGCCTGAGGCCAGGAACAGAAGTCGCATGAGCATCCCGACTGAACGCAGGCTTTTGAACCGAGCTTGTCAAGGTCGTCCTTCCCTAAATGGCGCAGTTTGACTCCTTATAGGCGACCCACAACCTGATAGCCCAGGTTGTCTACCGCAGCCCCGGCGACGCTGTGGCCACGAAACTCCCGGCGGTTGGGAATCCGGACTTGCCCTGGCCTGTGGAGCTGCCGGCGCTTCTGCAGGAGCGCCTTAGAGTTGGGGTTGGCTGGGTCTCCGAACAAGAAGAAGGGCGGAGAAGAACCAGATGATCACAATGGTGTTGATGATGCCCATGTCAAGATGACGGTGACGCTGATGGCCATGATGATGAAAGCTTGACACAAGCAACCTATGCCAACTCGAGATCCCAGGATGCGTTGCTGAGGCTGATTTTCTCACCCACCTCAATCCGAGCATATCCTCAGCCTCCGACTGCCTTGTCTCGTCACAATGTGATGTCGTGACGCTGTGATGTCTTAGCTTCCATCCACCCGCACCCCCTCTCTCTCTGTCTCGCTACAACTCGCCTTCCTTTCTCCATCCAGGGCTCCAGCATCATGAAGAGACAGTATCCCGTCGAGGTACCTGAATCCTTGACGGAGGGCAGGCATTTTGGGAATTGGAACCCGCAAGCATCTATGGTAATCCCATAGTTAATCTTACAGTAACCCTTGAGGGAACCTCATACTTTGCCCAAAAAGAGCAGGAGTCCGGGCGGCTACAGCGATGATCGGGCTATCCCATGCCTAGCGTTGCTGTCAAAGAGCTCAGGTTTTCGGAGCGGCTGTTTCAGGTCTCTCTGAAATGCAGTACAGGGGCCTTCTTGACTAGAATAAGGCTTTCGGGGACGGGTGGTGTATTATCGTTTAAGAAAAACTGTAAGGCATAGTATGAGTCTTCAATCCGCGACAACGGGTTTCAAGGATGTTGCGAGGCTTGCTGCGGCTCTGTGCCAGCGCCCACCCTGAAACTCTTGCCCAGGTTTTTGTCCCTATAAACCCTAAACCCCTAGCCCTAAGCCCTTAACCCAACCAAGTGCAATAAGATGTAGACCTGACATGCTATAGTTTACCCAGATCTTCGATGGGCAGCTCTTGATCCGCTGCCCTGCTTGGCCCAGAAGCGTATCCCTGCTGGGAAGTGGCACTCTTTCTCGAGCCGAGCGGTATGTTATGCGATAGTGATGATGAGGAACCCACCCAAAATGATATAGGTAATGGTTAAGGCCCCTACGGTAAGCTTTCCCCTGATGAGCCTGCCGTACTCGCCCCAGCCATGTCAGCCTTGTGCAAACGGCTGGCAAGGAAGCGTTCGGGTTTAGGGTTTAGGGTTTTGGGTTTTTAGGATTTAGGGTTTTAGGTTTTGGGGCCTAGGGCCTAGCGTGCAAAAGTCTCAAGGTCAGCCGATAGCCAAGGCCGATTGAAAAGCTGGATGGTGTAAGCATCTGGTAAAAGTCCTTTTGCGAGAACATCGATAAGTCAAGATTTGGCGAAGTTGTCAGTGCCTGTGGCACAGCTTAAACTTAGGAGAGATAGCCGGACGCGGCTGCCCAACACCACTGCTACGACTACTACGACGACGGCGACGACGACTACTACTAATACTACTACTTTGATTATCAGCAGCATTGGTACTACTACGACCACAACACCAGCTACTACTACAACAACTACTGCTATTACGACTGCTACTGCTACTGCTGCTACTACTACTACTCCTCCTGCTGCTGCTGCTGCTGATGCTGCTCCTGCCACGACTGCTGCTGCTCCTGCCACGACTGCTGCTGCTCCTGCTGTTGCTACTGCTCCTGCTACTGCTCCTGCTACTGCTACTGCTGCTACTGCTGCTGCTACTGCTACTGCTGCGACTGCTGCTACTACTACTACTACGACGACGACGACTACTACTGCTACGACTGCTCCACTACCACCACCACCACCACCACCACCACCACCACCACCACCACCACCACCACTACTGCTACTACTACTACTACTACCACCACCACTACTGCTACTACTACTACTACTACTACTACCACCACCACCACTACTGCTACTACTACTACTACTACCACCACCACTACTACT